AAACAGCACCTGAATTCTTATTTACACTGTGTATTTGTTCAGAAACACCATTCTTTGAGATGTTTAAATGTAAACTTCCAATCCAAGTTCAACTGAATTATGAAAAGTAGTACCTCCCTCCTCTTTGTGTTTCCCAGAATTTTCTTAAAATACGAATTATAACTGTGTTGTCATCTATGAAATCCCGTGTTAATTTTCTCCTGTGGTCTCCCTAAGGCTCTTTAAACCGTCCTCATATGTAAGGCTTAACACAGCACCCAGCACATAGGAGATACTCTGTAGGCATTTACCTCTTTGCCCCCTCCTTATTTCATATACTGCATAAAACCCAAAAAAACAAACACATTGCCATCAAGTGGATTCCAACTCATAGCAACCCTATAGGACAGAGTAGAGCTGCCACATACAGTTTCCAAGGAGCACTTGGTGGATATGAACTGCCGACCTTTTGGTTAGCAGCCAAACTCTTAACCACTGCAACACCAGGGCTCTATATACTGTATAGTACGTTAAAATCAGGAATCCAAGAAATTGTGGTAATTTGATCAAGTCACTTAAGTTCTCTTTCTCATATCCTCATTGGCTATTTCTAGATCCACAATTCTGTAACCCATTCCAGGAATTTCAATTTGACAGACATTTATTTAGCTTCTCCTCTGAGGGATAATTTGTTATTTATTTGCTTGATTCACATTCATGGACTAGCTAGTATTTCTCATATGACAAGGACCCTGATATTGAGAGCATCTTACTTCCTTTTCAATTTTCCAACTGGACAAGGAGAGATTATCTGTCTCTAAATTGCCTGCAATGAGGCTTTAAAATGACATCCTAGACCACATCATGGGACTAGAAACAGTTGGCCAGGAGTCCATAATTACTAAAAAGTCCTAAGTTATTTTAAATTCCACCTTTGCTGCTAAGTAATGGAATCCAAAGAGAGCAGATAAATTCTCCAGCCATTCCTGGGTATTTATAACTTCATATTTTAGAGCAATCACATCATAAGGGAATTGATTATGCTCCGTCTCTCCTGTGCTTCAGTCTTTTCCATGCCCAAGATTCCATGGTGGACTCAGTTTGAAAATCCCCTTGAATTCTCAAGAATCACCTCTATCTCTGATTCTTGGAGTAAGGAAATCCAGGAGCCTAGGTATCGCTGGTGAGTGATGAAGGGGTTGGCTGACCATATAAGGCTTAATGACACACTATATGGTGACAGTGGAAAAGTGTTCACTGGGTCAGTACTCTCCAGGCCAGATTCAAAAATCGTAACTTCACTGAGAGAAATTGGCTTGTATTATCATGTGGCTATTGTAAATGTGTGGTTACATGTAAACATTCTGACATTTGAAAAATATAGATCAAGGAAATTTGGTACCATTAGAAAAAATGCTTTTCTAATCTTGTTTCACTATTGTTATTAAGAACAATAAACAATGGAATCAAGACCTGAATTTAGTGAAACAAATTCATGATTTTCTCTGCTAATGGTGAGGAATCTTGCAAAATCTAAAACTCACTTTTGCGCAGGTAGGAATTTATGTTGGCTGCCTATTTACCTTTCTGGAACCCTGGTGGCAGTGTAGTTAAGTGCTCAGCTGCTAACCAAAAGATTGACAATTCCAATCCACCAGCTGCTTCTCAGAATAGGGGTAGTTCTACTCTGTCCTATAGGGTCACTACAAGTCAGAATCGACTCAACGGAAAGGTGTTTGGTTGATTTACCTTTATAGTGCTGTAATTGTCACAGCACTATGAGAGCACTATGAAGGGCTATTTTCCTAGCCTTCAGCAAAGGGGAAAAAGTGTGTTAATTCGCATGCAAATGGAGAATTATAAAAGCTTATTTTTATGCAATGAAATATAAAGTTTTTGTACTTTTTCGTAATGAGATTCATCTATCATTATTCCAGTGGATCCATTAATAAAGTACTTTCTGCCTCATAGTTTCTAGATTTATTCATTCATTCATCCTTTCATTCATACAATCTTTAATGCCCTCAAACCTTACTACGCAACTGCATTTTTCCCAGGCCCTGGTGGTTCAGTGGTTAGGTGCTCAGCTGCTAACTAGAAAGTCGCCAGTTGGAACCCACTAGCCACTCCATGGGAAAAAGATGTGGCAGTCTGCTTCTGTAAAGATTACAGCCTTGGAAGCCATATGAGGCAGTTCTACCCTGTTCTATAGGGTCAATATGAGTTGGAATTGACTTGACAGCAGTGGGTTTGGTTTTTGGGTTTGAGGATATAGCAGTAAACAGTGACACTGCCCATTCTAATGTTGGGCAGCAGTTAGAAAATGAAGGGTTTTAGTCCATCAATCAGCTGCCCTAGAGCTTCAGATAAGTCAAGTAAAGCCAATTCAATGAGTTTTTATTAAATACCTATGTCCTCTGTGGGAAGTCCCCAAGATTATGATGATTCAAAAGTTCTAACAAATCTGTTGGTGAATGGTGGCAGCTAATTTGGTCTCCTGCTCATGGTTGTTCAGCTATTTTGCATAAACTACCAAACACATTCAGAACAGTTTAGAATCCAAGAAAGGACCCAGGACTTTCATTCCCTGGGAAAACTCAAAACCTCTATTATTTCACTCCTAAATCCCATAGAGTACCACCCAGGAATCTCTAACACTCTAGAACAATTGAGAGCAAAAAGTAGTGGATTCTCTTTTTGAGGATAAAGACATTGACAGTCTTGATTACGTCATAGACAAGATGTAAATATTCACATTATATCAGGCTGAGAAAGCATTTTCAAGCTTGCAAAGTCAGTTTTCCCCTTTAGCGCATCAAAGCAAGATTAAAAGAAAGTTTTATTTAATTCCAATCAAGTACCAGTTGCTGTCTGGTTGATTCCCGCTCATGGCGATCTCATGTGTATCAGAGTAGAGCTGTGCTCCATAGGGTTTTTAATGGCTGGTTTTTCAGAAGTAGATCACCAAGCCTCTCTACTGAGGTGCCTCTGGGTGGACCAGAACCTTCAACCTTTCAGTTAGCAGCTGAGTGTGTTGACCATATACACTGCCCAAGGACGCCTCCAATCAAGTACATGCATAGAATTCTTCACCAAAATGTCTATGTTGAGAAATTCAGGCAATTTGGAGGTAAATTCCTTTCCTCTAGAAATCACATCAGAAATACCAACATCCATACTTCCCACCAAACATGCCTTTGTCCACTCATTTCAAAGGCAATATAATCTAGAGCAGGGGTCAATAAATCTTTCCTGTAAAAGGCCAGACAGTAAATATATTAGGCTTTGCCTGCAATGTAGTCTCTGTGACAACTATTCCATTCTGCAGTTGTACCCTGAAAGCAGCCAGACAATACCTAAAAAAATGGACATGCCTATGTTCAAATAAAACTTTATTTACAAAAACAGACAGCTGGCCAAATTTGGCCTCAAACTAGTTTGCCAACCTGTATTCTGAGACAGGATAATATTTCTCATGTTTATTTAGTTTCTCACTCCTATTTTATATTCCATCAGTACTGGAATAAATACAACATGTACCTCAAACAGTGAAAGACACAGTTTTTCATTTGTTATCAGGTGTTATCTGTAACAAAGATGTTCTGGTCAAAGATTTCCTCAGAAACTTAATCTTTACCCACTTAAGTGCTATTTTTTTATAAATTGATAAACTTTGATCATTTTTTCTGCATTGCAGATCATCTCTGCTGTTAAGTCCGCCTCAGAGAGACCCTATAGGACAGAGTAGAACTGTCCCACAGGGTTTCCAACAGTGGCTTTTGAACTTGAACTGCCAACCTTTTGGTTAGCAACTGTAGCTCTTAACCACTGTGCCATCAGGGCTTTTGCAACTTAATTTTTTCTTATTCTTTTTTCTTAATCTCTTCTGAGCTATTGTACAGAAATGTTTAGGGTCACTTGAGCTACCCAGGGCATATTCCCTTCATCAGTTGGCCTCGTCTGCAGTGATTTTGCAGTTGGCATTTCCATTACCACCAACTTTCAGATCAGCTGTCAATGTCAGTGTGTTTCTTTCTAGTAATCTCCTTTCGTGTGTCCACACTTTCTTCCACCATAGCCCATGTATAAAATCTGCTCTCTACTTAAGTGTAAAAAGTACTGAATTCTGACTGAAAGACTCAGACAACCTAGTTTGTAGAATTGTATTAAATGTCATCATAAAACAAATACTAAGTTCCTGGTCCTTTGAGGGAAGGCTGTATTCCTCTTTTGGGGACAGAAACTTTGCAATAGCTGTTTTTCACAATACTCAAAATCCTGGTTGCTTGTTTCTTGTTTTGGGCTAGATTCCAAAACACTGAGTTTATTGGAAATCTGAGTGACAGGTAAATGAGGACTTTTTCTACTGTACTAATACCTCTATTTTCCAAGGTATTTATTTGGAAAAATTGATATGAGAATTTTTTTTTTTTTTTCTTTACTGGCTTTGCTACTTAAAATTCACTGTGCTCTGTGTCCTGCTTTTCACTCACTAACTTTATCTAGGACAGATTAGCACAGTAGGTCTCAACCCTGAGCCACATAAGATGGAGGACATTTGAAAACTACTAACCCCTAGGTCCTGCCCTCTAGAGTTTTCTGATCAGTTGGTCTAGGGGGTAGAGAGGTGAAGTAAGCAGGCATTAGTGTTTTTCTTTTTTTAAGATTCCCAGATGATTCTCATGTTAATCAAGGACTAGGAACCACTGGTTGACTCTATCCAATTTCTCTTAGATGGCTGTATACAAGATTAAATGAGGAGTAGTTTACACTGATATTCTACTTTGTGGCGTCAGGATTTATATAATAAATATGGATTTATCTAAAGACTTAAACTTTCTCTTCTTTGAGAAATGCACTGCAAGTTTAATTCCAAGTGGCTGCGTTTCAATATATATACTTTTTGGATCCATCTCACCACATGGAGGAGGTGTTCTCCTTGGTCCACTGTTGTATCTTAAATGACTGTTTCTGATAACTCTGAAGCCCTGTGTATGTTACTGTTTTTCTCTTGTTCATAGCACCAGAAGAATGGGCCACAACCCGCTCCAGCCTGAAGGCACCACCGCCAAGGTCAGCCAGAGGGGGATACAGGGAGCACCCCTATGGTAGATATTGAAGGTCTTCCTCACCTGTGACCTCACCTCAAAGACAATTCATAGCCTGTGGTCTCCACATAAACAGCAAAAATACAAGTAATAGTCCTTTTTTTTTTTTTTTCTTTCCTTTTCTAGGGATAACTGCTCATGATTACTCCCATATATTTCTTGTATTTCCCTTTATAATGTTGACGTGACATTGACGGACTTAAAAAGACATTGGCAAGCATTGTCTATAACCCATTCAGTAGGATGATACTCTCTTGGTTGTTTTTCATTGTGTGTGTAATTTTTTATTTTTTTTTAATGAAAAAGCATGAATCTGTTCAAAGATTTTGAGTCTCAACCAGCTAGCAAAAATTTGTTTAGGGTTGCTAAAAGACTGTAATATGATTTTTGAACTAGCTGATAATAAAGTTGTAGATAAGATGTTTTAACCTGTCTTTTAATATCTGTTAGTTAGATGAAGATGTTCAATATTAATTATGTAAATTTAATTTTAAATGCTGTTTTAATGGGGTTGAAAACAAGCAGCTACTGTATGTATGTAGCAAACTGAATTTGTTCAGTGTTTTAACCTGTATTTGTTAAAAAAGAAAAAAAAACACACATAAAGTTCCATGTGTAAGCTTCTCTAAATAGGAAACCACAATTTGTCAAATATGTTTGCCATAATTTGTCAATAAAGCTGAAAATTTTTGTAAAAACTAAATTTGGAATTACTTGTTTTCTAGCTTTAAATGCCTGCTTTATTTCTTCTTCAAGAGATGCCTAAAATGTTTTCTATTTAAAAATTACAAAAATGAACCCAAGCTTGTTTTAAGATATTTGTGTAATACTTAAAAAATGTATTAATAACTTATGGTTGTTAAATAATTTAAAAGTTAACAAACTAAACTGTTACTTGAATCATGGTTAGTCAACACTAATGTATAACATGTTAATGGAAAAAAATGGATCTAGAATAATAAATGGATTTTAAACTATCCTCTAAGCTTTATCTTGCTAAACACAAACTCTGATTGACTTGTTTGCATTAGCATGTCTCTCGTGAGAAAGAGTAATGGAGTATAAAGAGGTAAGATTACCACTTACCACTGTCTAAATGCCTAGTTCTTCAACCTTTGAGTTTCCCCGCACATTAAATATCCCATCTAACATGTAAGCATTGCGTAGATTCACTTTATTGTTTTCACTCAAAGGAGTGTGTGGACTTCATTTGCGTAGTTTATAACAATTTGTTTTGACAAACAAATCATCAGTGTCACTGGCCAGTTGTTGCTATTCAACCTCAAAAACTTTATTTGTAATTTTCAGTGCTAAATATCACCGCCCTTGAAGGCAGTTTAGAGGGCTGATATTTCTTTTGAGACTATCAGACTTGATGGCTGATGATTATTAAGGAAATATGTCGCAGGACTCAAAGGATGACTAAACGTTAAACAGGTAACACTAATAGTAACTCTGTAATTTTGCATATGCAACAGAAATGTTAAATATTCTCAGTTATTAAGTTCCTGATAGTTAAAAAAGTAAACCTACAAAAACATAACAAATAGGTCTATAGGTTATTAAAACAACTAATTAACATTAACTAGAGGCACCAAAATTATTTTACAATATATAACCCTCAAGGTAATAAACAGAACTAAAATTAACAATAATAGTAATGCAACTCTTGCTAACATCAAATGTAAGCTAAATTTTGATGGAAAAAAAAAAAAGAAAGTGAAAGACTTGATGGTAGGGATTGATGCCAAAACTGTTCATCTTTTAAATAGTTTTTTGTTTATGGTGGCTTTTTGTCGATGTGATTGGTTTACTTTTTTGCTGCTGACCAGCTAAGGCATATTGCTGTTCCGTTTTTTCAGCTGGAGTTGCATGCCAATAGTTTTATGAAGTGTGTGTCTGTCATCAATTAAAATTGTAAATATTTGCCTTTCATAAAATGCTGTTGAGTTATATTTAATTATCTTTTTTTATTCTTTCTCGCTATTTCAGGTGCCCACAAGCAAAGAACACATAATTGAATAGCAGATGTGATGGGTTAAGAAGGATGGAGGTAAGCTTATTTTTCGTCTTCTTTGAAACAGATAAGATCATCTTTACCAACATAAAGACATAGCAGTGAGCTAAAATACCAGATGCCACTTGTTGAAATACTGAAACGGTTTAAATTGTTGTCAAGCAATTGAGTCTTTTAATCTTTGTTGAAATAAAGCCATCTAACTTGATATTTACCTGACAAGTCTTATTTGGAAGCTTGCCAAATGAATTGTGAATTAATAGTTAATCTGAGGCCTTTGTCTTCACTTTAAGCTGTATGTTCCATCTCTGTAATTCTACAAAGAAAGAATGCTACAACTTTTAATCTGAAGGTATAGAAGGAAGCCTCAATTGTTGGCTAACGTAAAGGGGAAGGGGACCCCCAGTCTCTCGCCTAGCCTGTCAATGAGAGTCAAATACAATAATTTTCCGTTCCCATCATGTTTCCCATCTATCTTACTGTTTTCATCAATAAACTTCTTGTTTCTCATCTGCCGTTCTATTTGATTTAGTAAATATTTACTGAGTACAAAGCACAAATGGAAATTGAAGCCTGATTTCTGTACACAAGGAGTTGAAAACTTTAGTCAAGTAAACCTAAGACTGAAAACCATGCAGGGACAGTTATGAAATCCTCGGAAAGAACTGAAATAGCTTTGCCAGAATGGTTGAAATGGGGTTTAAAAGCCAAGTGTTCTCCTTCTCGGTCTGGTACCCTCTCTTCTATACAAATCTAAATACAGTTTAGTCTTTCAGAAGTGCCATTTGAGTGGTATGAGAGAACTGAGAGATTCATTATATTGTTATATGCGGTCAGGAAAAAGGCTGAGGGAGCCATCTAGGTTTTGGACTTGAATGAAGGGAATAGACCGTTCGTCAGTGAGAAATGGAGTACGTCCTCGTGAAGAGACCCCACCACCACCACCAGGTGCCTTCGAGTCAGTTCCAACTTGTGGTGACCCCATGTGTGTTAGAGTAGAACTGTGCTCTGTAGGGTCTTCAAGGGCTGATTTTTCAGAAGTATACCACCAGGCCTTTCTTCCATGTGCCCCTAGGTGCACTCAATCTTCCAACTTTTCTGTTAGCAGCCAAGTGCATTAACTGTATCACCCAGGGCCTTAGACTTTGTCAGTACCTAGAGTTGGAAAAATTCAGAAAGTGTTTGAGAGGAAAGCAGGTGCTCAATGAGCCCTGAGAGTTGTTCATGAAGGCGAGGACTGAAAAGACAGGTTCAAGTGAGATCATGGCTATCCTTAAGCACTGGGTTGAATTGTTGGATTTTATGGGATAAGCAATAGGGAGCCACTATAGGTGCTGAGGAAACCCTGGTGGCATAGTAGTTAAGAGTTCGGCTGCTAACCAAAAGGTTGGCAATTCGAATCCACCAGGCACTCCTTGGAAACCCTATGGAGCAGTTCTACTCTGTCCTACAGGGTCCCTATGAGTCGGAATCGACTCCATGGCAAGGGGTTATAGGTGCTGAAGTAAGGAATGGCATAATGAGAGTTATTCCTAAAGAATAAAGGAACCAGGGAACCCAAGGCTGAGTAAGGATATTGTTGATGTGTTGTGAGATTGTTAACCATTGTCATAGGGCAACATTTGTAGTAACTGTTAAATGAGAAACTATTTTGTT